AAAAAGGCCTGTACTGAGTGCGGTAATCACGAAAATAACAGCTTGAGTGGCAACCTACGGTGTTGGCTGAAGAGTAGCTAATGGAATTCAAGCCCGATAGCGATCGCGCTGCCCGAATGTTCACACCCTATCAGTTGCTAGAACATCGCCATTCATATAAGCGACTCACAATTTTAGTATTCCTGGACTTCCAAGATATATTCCAATATATATATATATATATATATATATAATCTTGGAATATATCTTGGAAGTTCAGGAATACTAAAATTGTGAGTCGCTTATATGAATGGCGATGTTCTAGCAACTGATAGGGTGTGAACATTCGGGCAGCGCGATCGCTATCGGGCTTGAATTCCATTAGCTACTCTTCAGCCAACACCGTAGGTTGCCACTCAAGCTGTTATTTTCGTGATTACCGCACTCAGTACAGGCCTTTTTTATAAGTGGACACTATCACCGATTCCTCTCGTTGTTTGGGACAGAAGATTTTCCCAGATGCAGGCAAAAAGATCAGATAGGGATTCATCATCATCATCATTGTCAGCTGTAAGAACCGCGTACTGGTCGTACACTGGTTGTAGCTGCCACAGTTTCGTTCACCGATGATTGGGGGGTAAGTAGCTGCGCATTGCACGCGCGAGCTGGTAAATTGGTGCATAAATTCAGCACTGTCAGTGAGTTGTCAAGCGGGGGGGGGTGGAAAAGAAGCTATGCATTGAAGGCAATAGCTTGGATGCACGAGCGCCACTGAGGGCGCGACTGGGCCATGTCTGATAATGTCTCTAGCCATTGATGTGGCCCGTCTCGGGGTCCCCATCCAGGAAGACGGCAGTGACCAGCGCAGCTGAGTTTGCTGGTAATGGCCTTCATACTTCGCTGCCAAGTCATTGTTTGACCGCCTCTGGCTCTCTTCCACCCTTCACATGGTTGGGCGAAAAGAGCCCTTCGAGGAAGTCGGTCGACTGGCATACGCAGCACGTGGCCAAGCCAACGCAACCTGTGCAGTGTGATCAGTTCATCTATCGAGGGTGAGTTATTTCTCCCGAATACCATTCGACGTACTTCAGAATTGCTGATCCGGTGTTCCCACCAGATTCGGGCAATGCTCCGAAGACATCGATGGTCAAACACTGAAAGTCTTTTGACGTCCTCGGCGCGCAGCGGCCACGTTTCTGATCCATATAGTAATATGGAGCGCACCACAGCATTGTAAACCCGACCCTTGACAGAGAAACTGATGTCACGCCTACGCCACAGGTGACGTAGGTTCGCAAAAGCTGCTCTGGCCTTCCCAATCCGGATGGAAATATCATCTTTCGCGAGATAAACAAATTTGTCTACTACCTCAATCGGTTCATCCGCAAGCATGAGGCTAGGGTTCGAGCCCACCCAGTCTTGTAGTAGAACTTTACACTTTGCAGGTCTGAAGCGCATACCAAACCGCGAGGCAGAATTATTTATATTATTTAGTATTGTTTGCAATGCCACGGGGTCAGATCCTAGAAGAGCTATGTCGTCTGCGTACTCGATAGGGATTAACTGAAGACTAAGCCCCCATCTCTGAATAATGCTGGTGGGAAATCATCCGGACCAGTAGTCTGGTAGCGCTTGAGAAAACGTATGAAACCATACACTTAATGGTCCTCAAAGGGATACAGATTCGCCGTCCATGGTTCTACTTCAGTTGCAGGATCCAACTGGGTGGCAGCATGTAGCAAGGAAAATTGTTGTTCAGCTGTCGAGGCAGCCTTCTTTATTGAAGATGGACGCGCCATTTTGATCCTAGATGGTTTCGCCGAAGGTGCTTTCCGGAGATCGGCCCAACGGAAAAACTGAAATCTTCGGACATTCCTGGCTTTCTGATCCTCTTCCATTTTCTTGGGATACTGTGTCAACCAAGATTCATGGTCAGCGCGCAGGCTCAACTTAAAATGCTGTCCCAAAATTAGTCGCACTGAGTTGTGTTCGGGGCCGCGAGGAACATTTCTCCGAAATTCAGGGAGTGCCCAGTATCCAGTTCTTCAGTAGACCTGGCAGTGCCATGCCACAGACAAAACACCAAGCAAGCAA